TGAGGTTTTCTGCTCTGTGTGGAGGTAATAGGAACTATTCCTGGCCCTGTGTGAGTTCCATGGATTAGTCCCTCTAATACTTCCATTGGTTATTTTTCTGGCTCAGGTTTCCTCACTCACATGCGCTGAGCATTTCTCTGCTGAATACTTGAGAGAGACCATCTACATAACTCTACGGTTCTCTCTCTGTAATTCTCCCTTCTGTACTCTATCTTATGAATTCTGTCCTTCTTGTCTCCCCACTCTCTCGGCTCCATCTCATCAACTCAGGAGCCTTCCAGGCTCTGGCCTGACTTTGCCCTCCCTGCATTGCTGCTTAAGAACTCTTTCCAGGTAGTGAGCTAGGACAGTTGTATGGTTGTTTCCATCTCTCAATATTCACTGTCCTTTGTTGCGAAGTCCAGTGTCTTGAAAAGTGTCATTTCATATATTTTGTCCTGTGTTTTAGTTGTTTCAGATGGGAGATTAAATCCTGTCTTTGTCTACCTCATTTTGTCTTGAAGTGGTAGTCTGGGAGTAGAATTTTAATTGGGTAATAGTGGTTCAACATTTCACTTCCATAATTAAAATATGAGAAAACTACTCTTGATTCTCAGAATTCTAGAACTTGCTGTGAGAAAGGAACAGTGTGATTCTGGGATGCTAGCTAGTGCTTAAGTGGCTAAAACCTGTCTCTCTGTCTGCCTCTACCTGTCTACCTCCAGTATAGAATATTCCATGCATGAACATAGACTGTGACCTTGGTATATTCTTTACTCTAAAACAGAGTTCAGTATGTGATGGGGTCTGTCTAGGACCCCCTTCCCAGTGGGTCTTTAAAGGACCTTATTAAAAGCTGGTTCCAAGACACAGAGGGACAATAGTATAACAAGTATTCATGATTTCTTGTGTTAGATTGTAGAAGCGTGAAGAATATGTTTGAGAAATTCTTACTTGTAGTCATTTCTAATTTTCTTTTAAACTCTTCAGACCTCCATTCTCGATGTGGGACTCTCTAAACCCATACTAGCACAGAGATGCAGTCAGTAAGTTTTGATTCCTAAGTCTGGAATATTAGGTAAGAACAAGCATTTTAAATGCATTTCCCAAAAGACAATAAATTCGTATATTCATTGAACAGGCTGCTAAGAAATGATTTAATGGTTACTTCTATAGACAGCTTATTAATAAGTTTTTTATTGGTTATACTTCATGTGTATGTACAAAAAACTGCTATATCATCAAAAATGAGAACTTTATGCCTTAGAAAAAGACTTTTAAAAATACATTTTTGTATTTGTTAAAGAAATTTATAATGTATATCATATATATTTTAAAGGGAACAGCACCTGCCCAAATTTCTCTCCTCACAAACACACACACACACACACACACACACCTCTTAGATCATACCATATTTTGCTAATGTCAAGAAAATACAATGAGATGAATGGCTGAGAATTATAAAACTTCCATTTCTTCCAGAATCAATTTGTAGACTTAACAAAATTTCAAACAAAGTCCCAATAGGAATTCTTGTTTGAATTGACAGATGATTTTATCAGCGTGTTTGGAAAAGTAAACAAGTGAAAAGAACTAAGACATTTTGAAAATAAAGAACACCATTTCCTTGCCCTACCTCTTGTTTAAAACTTTATAAAGCTACTGCTATAAGCAAACCATCACAGTATCAACACAAGATTAGAAACATACTGTATAGTCCAGGAATATTCTGGTATATATGACTTACCATATATTATTATAATAGAGGAAGAATCACAAGTTAATGGCAAAGAGATTGATTGTTCAGTAAACCGTATATGAGAAATTGGTTAGGAATTTCAGAAAAAAACCATTTTAAATTGTTATCACTACCACATACAAAGATAAATATTACTTACATTTCCAGCTAAATCTGGAAAACTTCTCATGCTAAAAGAAAATGCAACTGAATGTGTAGTTGACTATTGAATGGAGGTCTCCTAAATCATTAAAATAATGAAGTAAAATCATACAGAAATTATATATAAATTTGACTACATAAAATTAAGAATTACTGAACATCAAAAACCAGCACAAAGTGGGGAAAATGTTTACAAATAATATGATGGAGGACTGACATTTTTAATATTTAAAGGGCTTGTACCAATTGAAAAAACAGTAAGTAAATAATGGAACATAGGCAAAAACATTGCTGATAATTCACTAAAAAAATGGAAAGGCCACTAGACATGGAAAATTATATAGCCTAAGAATCAGAACAATTGATTCCATTTTTATATATCAAATTAGAAAAGATATTTTAAAAGGATATATTCAATGCTATCATGGATGTGGTAAGACAAATGCTTTCATAAGCTGCTGATGGGAATGTAAGTTATTGTAACCCTTTGACAAATAATTTTGTTCTGTATGTCGAGAGTCTTGGACTATTTATTCTCCTTGACTGCCTAGTATTTGCTTTTTTATTTCTCAGAAATCCATTTTGGGGAAATAACCATAAATATCAAAAATATATATGCATTTACAGAGTTATTTATAATAGTGAAAAACTGGAAATAACCTAAATGAACATTAGGTAAATTATAGTAAATTAGTATGTTGAGATTGTACAGCTATTGAAAACTCTTTATTAATAAGTTAAAGATATAGAAGAATGCCTATAATATAATATTAAGTGGGGAAAAAGGAGGCCACTAAATAGTTTATGTAGTGTGATCTCAAATATGTTAAAACACACACCCTCATAGATACATACGTGAACGACTTGAAGAGCAGACAGAAAGACTAGCAGCCCTTACCTCACGGTGCTGGGGCTTTAGATGATTTTTATTTAGGGGGAGACTCAGGATAATTAGTGAATAGAAAAACATTAATGGTAGTGAACCTGAAACTTAAAAAGTTGTAACATAACATATGGCAGAAGTGGCTTCTGGGAAAGAGGTAGTTCTTAGGGACAATTATTTCTGAGTTCAAATCCTGCCTGCTTCTTACTGTGTTTTTCTAGGCAAGTTACTTTATCACTCTGAGTCTCCATATGTAAGGTGGTGATAATACCTACCTCATAGGGTTGTTTAGAAGATTGTAATAACAGATTGTAATAACATAATGAAAAGTGGCTGGCACGTGATAGTTACTTAATAAGTTTCTTATTTGTGTCCATCATGAAGCTTTCCTCAGAGACAATTTCATGACAAGGTAATATGCTTGTCATAAACTGTAAACTAGGCAGTTTTCTTCTTTTAGCGTTTGAAAGACTTTTGTTTAGGGTTTTCTTATGTGTTAAATTTCCATGAACGTTTTGATTAGCCTTCCTCAGAAGTGAAATAGGTAACATCTGTTTTTCTTCTTAATAAAATACCAAGTGAAAATGATGTTCTTATACTTTTACCATTATAATATTCAAATGAATTCTCCTGAAACTTAGATAATGAACAATCATTGTTTTTCTATAGAACATTTTAAAAAGTGGGTATAATATCAAAATTTATCTTTCATTGTTCATTCTCAGAAATTTTACTAGTACCTGAGTCTGCATAATGTAATTCAGTGGCCATAATTCTAAGTGGGCAAGCCAGTTATAAGATTTTATGATATTTCTTTAAAATTTTGAGTCTTCCTAATAATCTAGATATTTCTTTAATGAAAATAACCAATTTCCAGACAAGTTATTTGTTTTGCCAATTGGAAGCCCTTGATAAATCTTAACAATTACATCTAATGGTTGAGTAATGCCCAATTTTGTGTGTAAATTAACACTCACTTTTGAATGGATATAGACATAAACCTATAACAATAATACCTCATGGTTACACACATAGGATTTTACAATTTACAAAGTATTTTTCCCCACATAAACTAAGCTGACTCTTAAAACAACCTTGTTAAGTAGATGTAGCAGATACTATTATCCTTATTTTACAGATTTGGAAACTGAAGCCCCGAGGGCTAAGTGAAATGTCAAACATTACACTGCTAATTCTAATTCTAAGTCCAGTGCACTTTTCACTTCATCATAGCACCTCTGTTCCCAGGCAGAAAAAGATTGAGGAATTCAGTGCCTTTAAGCTCATGTATTCTACTAGCAGAAGAGTCTTGGAGCTACCCCTTAGGTCAGAGATTGGGTTTAGAACCGTGTTTAATATGAGTTACTAATTTGACAACTTTTGTTGGTATAATTGAAGCTTTAGGTTAGTAGAGCTGCTAAAAGCAAAATTCCTGAGAAGTGATAGTAGACAGTGAAAGAGAAAATAGTGGAAATAGTGGAATTACCAATGCTAAAACAAAATATCTAATATACTGCAAAGATCCTGAGAGCATCCCTATATAGTAGTGTACTAAATATAATAACCGAATTATGACACTAAGTCATTTTTAAAAAGGTAAATCCTGTGCAGTACATTCAGGGTAAAAAGATATGCAAGCTACATAATATGTTTTAGGAAGATCTACATTAAAATGTTGAAAAGAAGGATTTTTAAAAAAATTTTTCAGTATATTTTATTTTATTTATTTATTTAATTTATTTATTTACTTTTATTTTTTGGCTGCATTGGGTCTTCGTTGCTGCATGCGGGCTTTCTCTAGTTGCAGTGAGCGAGGGCTACTCTTCATTGTGGTGTGCAGGCTTCTCATTATGGTGGCTTCTCTTGTTGCAGAGCACGGGCTCTAGGCACGTGGGCTTCAGTAGCTGCAGCACATGGGGTCAGTAGTTGTGGCTTGAGGGCTTTAGAGCGCAGGATCAGTGGTTGTGGCGCACTGGCTTAGTTGCTCCGCGGCATGTGGGATCTTCTCGGACCAGGGCTCCAGCCTGTTTCCCCTTCATTGGCAGGCGGGTTCTTAACCACTGCACCACCAGGGAAGTCCGAGAAGGATTCTTAAATAGTTTAGTTCCATCTATATACTTCTTTTATTTTCTTGTTTGCCTAGACTTGTCTGTTTACTGGTTTTTAAAGAAGAAATTTTAAATAAATTCAACATTAAAAAAAAAGATCAAATGGTAAATTATTATTTTATTCTAGGTTCTGTTTACAGAGGAAGATGTGAAATTCTACCTCGCAGAACTGGCCCTTGCTTTGGATCATCTGCACCGATTAGGAATTGTATATAGAGACCTGAAGCCAGAAAAGTAAAGCTATATTGTCTTTATGTATCCCTGTTACCAGTATTTCTATAACTACTTTTTTCTCCATTAAGTCTTATATTTTAAAGATTATATGAAAATATACGTGAATTATGCAGTTATATGAAACTTACTTTAAAAAGTAATCTTCATAAGATACCCATTGATTTTAAATTAGTCATTTCAAAATTTTCCAGTATATCAAATAGATATTGACCTCTTATGATGATTTTTATGTAAATGTTTTATGTAAAAATATTTTATCCCACGTTGTTGAATGTGAATTTTGCTTTACAGCATTTTGCTTGATGAAATAGGACATATCAAGTTAACAGGTATGCAAATTTTCTCATTCTACCCTAAGCCTGTTTTATATTTTTTGTTATTTTAATATATATATTTGTCTAAGCCTGTTTTTTTCCCTCTTTCTTGATTTAATTTGCATTTTGTTTATTTCTTTGGTGAACTAAAATTCATTTAAAGGGTGGATAAGATAACTCTCAGTATGCTCTAATTGTAATACCAAAAAATCATATGGTAGAGTCACTGTCCTCATTAAGAAATGACATTTGGTTTTCTAGGAAAAATCACATCATTTTTGTTTCAGTCTAGGCTGAAAGATTTATCATAAGTAGTTATCACAGTTGAAATATAGTGAATTATAAACTTCTGAACCAAGTGTTTCATAATAAGAGGTTCATTTTATTCTTTCTTTTGTAAAAACACATTTTATTTTACTTTATTTTGAATGTTGAGTGTTTACTGTATGTGAAACACTGATAATTTTCACAGGACCTTTAGGCATAAGGTATCCTTATTATACCATTAAAAAAAACCTTTACTTTTAAAATAATTATAGACTCACAATAAGTTGCAAAAATAGTACCAAGAGGTCCTGTGTATCGTCACCCAGCTTCCCCCAATGGTGACACTTTACAAAATTACAGTGCATTATCAAACCCAGGAAATTGATAGGTACAGTTACAACTAACTAGACTATATACTTTACTTGAATTTCACCAGTTTTTGCACATATTCTTTTTTTGTTTGTCTTTGTGTATATCTCCATAACATTTTATTCACATATGTAGAGTCAAATACCATCACCACAATCAATAATCAAAACTGATCTATAACCACAAAAGAACTCTCCTGTGCTGCCCATTTATAGTCACCCTTCCAACCTTCCCTAAATCCTGGCAACCACTTATCTGTTCTATATCTCTAAGTTTGTTATTTTAAGAATATGATATAAATAGAACTGTATAGTAGTCACACACCTGAACATTTATCCTAGAGAAATAAATACTTACATGCACACAAAAAACCTAAACATGAATTTTCATAGCAGCTCTGTTTGTAATAGCCCAAGGCTGGAAATGTCCCAAATGTCCTTCAGAGAGTGAATGGATAAACAAACTGTGATACATCTATGCAATGGAATACTACCCAGCAATAAAAAGGAAATAACTCTTGATATATACAGCAACTTGGATGGACTCAAGGGCATTGTGCTGAGTGAGCCAATCTCAAAAGGTTACTTATGTTTTAAATAGATAGTAAATTCTGTATTTAATTATCAGAATGTTAAAACAGAGATAAAATGAAGATGTGGGCTTTACAGAGAATTTTGGACCAGTACACTTTAAAGGTAAGTTGCTTTAAATTCCTAAGTATACTTCTTCAATGTAAAAATAAAGTATAAAGTTGTTAACTTGAAAGCTCAAGTAAATGTGACAAAGTTCAAGTAAAGTTTAGTAAATCTTTTTTTGATTCATAGCCTGATTCTCTTTCTACTATATGAAAGAAGCAAAGCAGATTTAAAGAGATTCAAAGAGGATAAGGAAGAGAAATATGAAGAGAAGAGTAGAGTTTTGAAATTTTATATAATACATAATTTTTATTTTACAACAGTCAATCTTTAGTTGCAATGCTAATTAGAATTTAATTATTTTCATTTTTCTTAATAAGTTATGCCTGTTTTGTCATGGGTGAGGAAGAAAGGTGGGAAAAGAGTAGAATAAATTCTACCTATATCTCTCTTCTACATTAAGGTTAATTGGGTGAATAATGATGTCAACTTGTTTTATATTTAGTCTTATAATATGAATTCTGCTTTTACACCTTTTGGACTTAAACGGGCTGAGGAATAAAGAGTAGTTAGAATCAATGTTAATTTATAAGCAAGGGACACAAGGCTTGTGACAGGAAGAAACTGTGATTTATATATATTTTTAAACAATTTAATCTATTTTCCTTTAAAGTGACACCAATATTTCTTTAAAGAAAGTACACAATGATAAATATTAGATAATTTACAGTTTCATGATCATAACAGAATTCAAAGTCTTGTAATGAATAATAAATTTATGGATGTAACCTCACAACATTCCAGTAAGGTTGGTTAAAGTATGACCATTCATAGCAAGTGTTTTAAGACATTTCATTTTTTTTCATTCTTTCCTTTAATTTCTTTTTATTTTTATACTTCCTTTCTTTTTCTTTATTTTCTTTTTCTTCCTTTCTTGCTTTCTTACCTGCTGTGCCTTTTTCCTCCTTCCTTCCCTTCCTTTTTTCCCTCCTTCTCTTCCTATCTCCTTCCTTCCATTTTGAATACTATCATCGAGTACTATTTGCTCGATGAACTATGGTTATTCTTTTGGTTTATTTGGTGAACTATGTTATTCATTTCTATCACAGCCTGTGGAATTTGTAGAGGAAGCACAGGTCACACTGGCATCTTTTTAGAAGCAGACAGAAAGATTCCATAGCTGTCTCTTCCTGAGTTCAGTTTTCCTTGTTCAAGTTTGCATGCTTTGGCTGGTCTGGTAAATGTGCTAAGTCATGTGTAGTACTTTCAGTGAGCCCTTAGGGTTCTCATTTTAGGCAAAGGATCTAATTTCTCTGAGACATTAACTCAATTAACAACACAGCCCTGTAAATGAAAAGGCAGGAGAGGCCAGAACTGGGAATCAGGTGTGAGGAGAGGGTGCTATGGATGTGGAGGGTCAGGGCATTTGGACAAGGATGGATGTAAGAGTATCACAAACCTGGGTGGGAAAGGGAATCTGGAGTCTCCAGAATCACTTCTGAGGGACATAATTCAGAAGTAATTTTTATAAAGAGAGGGAAGATAAAATATGCAGTGTCAGAAATTAAATCACACAGTACTTGAGCTGAATATTTAAGAAAAAAATGTATACATAAGAAAATAGTTTTAAGTAATTTTTATGGCTATCTGAAAATTAGGCACTGAAATTACTTTTACATATAGTAGATACTCATAAAAGTGTTGTGTTTTGGACATGCTTTTAAAATTTAACGTCTTTAAAAGAGTCATTTAAGGAAACAAAGGTATATCTCACCCCCACCCCCGCCAAAAACCCTTTATATAGCTGATTTCTACATTTTCTTTTCAAATTAGTGTTTTGGAAAAAAACACTGATTAACATATGTCTTATTTAATCTTGTAGCTAACTCTTATTATTGTAAAAATTTTTGTCCGTTGATTGCTGAGCAAATTCTAGTGTTAAATGTCAGTTTTGTCAGAAATAGTACAGCAAAGGACCTTTATGGAGTGGTGTAATCTCTGAAAGGTAACAGAGGATAAGAAAATTCTCTTCCCCTCTTCCTTCTCTGTGGACTGGCCAAAGAAGCCAGTGTTCTTCTCTACAAGGTATGTTGTTATATTCAGCTGAACTGACCTCAGAGACTAGGTTTCATTAAATTTAATTTTGAAATGGAATTGCAGAGTTTAAAAGCCTTAAAATGTGGAGAAAGAGCATAGTACATTGAAAAGATTTTTTAAAATTATGCTGAAAATCATAATGCATTCAGTTATTATACAAGAATAAGTAATTTTTAAATGAAAATATTGATTATGGTTAAAAAATCAGTTTCAAGGGGTCCTAAAATTAAGTATTAATATTGTATTTTATTTTAAAAGAGAATTATAGGGCTTATAATTTTTTCATTTATAGAATTAAGGTATAATTTACATAGAGTAAAACTCATTGTTCTTGTGATAATGGAACTAATTTGTATCTTGACTGCATCATTGTCATTATTGTGGTTGTGATGTTGTAATATAGCTTTGTAAGATAATACCATGGGGGAGACTGGCTAAAGGGTAAACGGGATCTCTGTAGTATTTCACATAATTGCGTGTGAGTCTACAGTTGCCTCAAAATACAAAAGTTTATTTTTTAAAGTTACTTTTTTGTGTATAGTTCTGCAAACTTTGACAAATGCATACAGTCAGCATCAAGATATAAAACAGTTCCCTCACCCCCCAGAATTTTCCCATTATAAATCAATTCTCCCTTTACCCCTTGACAACCACCAATCTGCTTTCTGGTCCTATGGTTTTGCCTTTTCCACAAAATAATATAAATAGGAAGACAGTATATAGTCTTTTGAATCTGGCTTTATTTATTTAGTATGCATTTGAGATTCATCTATATTGTTGTGTGTATCAGTAATTTCTTTTTTTATTGCTGAGTAGTATTCCATTTTATGATGGTACCATGGTTTGTTTATCCAATCCCCAATTAAAGGACTTTTGGGTTGTTTCCTGTTTTTGACAGTGACAAATAAAGCAACTAGAAATATTTTTGTACAGGTTTTATGTGAACATAATTTTTTATTTCACATCAGTAAATACCCAAGTGGTGGGATTGGTTGATCATATGGGAAGTGTGTGTTTAACTTAATGAGAAACCTCCAAACTGTTTTCCAAAGTGCTTGTACCATTTTGCATACCCATCAGCGATGTATGAGAGTTCCAGTTGTTCTGCATCCGTGCCATTACTTGGTATTGTCAGTATTTTTTTTATTTTAGCTCTAGTAAAAGGCATAGAGTAGTACCTCACTGTGATTTTATTTTGCATTTCCCTAACAAATGATGACATTGAGCATCTTTTCATGTATTTCTTTGGAGAAGTGTCTGTTCAGGTTTTTTTGTCCATTAAAAAAATTGGGTTGTTTGTTTTCTTATTACTGAATTTGAGTTTTTAAAAATATACTCTGAATACAAGTCCTTTATATGATATGTGATTTTCAAATATTTTCTCCCAGTCTCTAGTTTCTTTTTGATTTTCTGAACAATATATTTTGAAGAGCACTTTTTGACTTTGATAAAATCCAGTTATCAACTTTTTTCTTTTATGTATTATACTTTTTAAAATATATATATTTATTTTATTTATTTATTTTTGGCTGCATTGGGTCTTTGTTGCTGCATCCAGGCTTTCTCTAGTTGCGGCAAGCGGGGGCTACTCTTCGTTGCATTGCATGGGCTTCCATTGCAGTGTCTTCTCTTGTTGCAGATCACGGGCTCTAGGCGCACGGGCTTCAGTAGTTGTAGCATGTGGGCTTCAGTAGTTGTGGCTCACGGGCTCTAGAGCGCAGGCTCTGTAGTTGTGGCGCACAGACTTAGTTGCTCCTCAGCATGTGGGATCTTACCGGACCAGGGCTCGAACTCATGTCCCCTGCATTGGCAGGCAGATTCTTAACCACTGCACCACCAGGGAAGCCCTGGATTATACTTTTGATGTTGTATCTAAGAAATCTTTGCCTAACCCAAGCTCACAAAGATTTTATCCTGTATTTCTTTTGGAAATTTTGTAGTTTTAGGTTTTACACTTAGGTCTATTATTCATTTTGAATTAATGTTTGTTTATGAGGTATGGTATGAGGACGGATTTTTGTATATCAATATTCTGTTATTATGGCACCATTTGTTGAAAAGACTGACCTTTTCTCCATGGAATTGCTTTTACATCTTTGTCAGAAATCAGTTGGCTATATATATAGCCAGTTCTGTTATAATGCAACACATATGATCTTAAAAATCACTGTACTATGCATAATTGCATAGTAAAAAATATGACTTATGGAGAAAATGGTGTTCGGGGTTTAACACTAAAATATATAACCAGTGACACATTAAAGAAATATAGGAGGCTGTTAAAAATGATGGCATTGTTTTATATGTTCTAACTGATTAAGAATAGATAAATACTACAATAAATATGATACCTTACCTTGAAAAAATCCTGAAATTTGCTTCTATAATTGGCATCAGAAAGGTTGCAGTTTGTAAGTTATTGTGAAGTAGTGGGAGGTAAATTATCTGGAATTGGGAGTTCTAATACTACAGGTGAACAGAAGTGGCTTGTAACACACATGATGTGCTGAAATAGCTGGTAGATATTTGACGTGTGTGCATGTATGTATTTCTGCTTGGCTCAGTTCAACTAGGTGCAGTTTTCTAGTGTTTCACCTATTATTTCTTGTGGGCAAAATTGCACATAAACCAAGCTGAAATTTGAAATTCATGTTATATTCGCCAAGCAAACTCTAGTGTTAAATGTCAGTTTTGTCAGAAAAGTACAGCAAAGGACATTTGTGGAGTGGTATAAATCTCTGAAAGGTAACAATAAGGTATCAATCGCATTGGAACAAATTTGCAGTTTTAAAACAAGAATAGCAGAGCGACTGTATATGTCAGTCTATTCTTGGACGCTGTTTTGTTGCATTCATATATGTATGTGTGTGTGTAGTCTTTCTCCAGTACAACGCTGTCTTGATTACTATAGCTTTATAGTAAGTATTGAAGTCAGGTAGTGTGAGTCCTTGAATTTTCCTTTTTTATTCAGAATTGTTTTGGCTATTCTATTTACTTTGTCTTTTTATATAAATTTTAAATTCAGCTTGTTGATTTTTACAGAAGAAATCTTGCTGGGATTTTTATTAATGTTTCATTGACTCTGTAGATCAGTTTAGGGAGAATTGACATCTTTAACAACATTGAATCTTCCAAATCATGACCAGTATCTCTCTCCATTTACTTAGATCTACTCTGATTCCTTTCATTGATGTTTATAGTTTTCAGCATGCAGATCTTGTATATGCATTCTTTGTATATTTATACCTGTGGATTTCATGAGGGTTTTTTGGTGATGTTATAAATAGTACTTTTAAAATTTCACCTTTCAATTTTTTATCTCTGGTATATAGAAATAAGATTGATTTTTATATATTAGTACCTTTAGCTCTTCTAAGACCATAAACAAAGTGGAAGTTCACCAAAACCAAAGCAAAATTTGCTTTCCTAATATTTTAAAAAGTGCAAATTACTATCATTTTTTGTCTTAGTCTGTTTTAAAAATTAGATCACTATGACAGTGTTGATTTAATTTAATTGTCCTTTCAAAATTGTTGAATCATATTCCTGTATAGACATGAAAACATGTATTTTGAGGATGAGGTTTAACTGAGGTAAGGAGCTTTCTTAATGGTAATCATAGGCCATCATGAGTAGGTTTAATTCATCGTTTAGTTTCTTTTGGTATTTTCTATTTTCTGAAGATCTTCAGATATGTTTTTTGTGTAATATTGTTATTATAGATTTTGGACTCAGCAAAGAATCAGTAGATCAGGAGAAGAAGGCCTACTCATTTTGTGGTACAGTGGAGTATATGGCTCCTGAAGTAGTAAATAGAAGAGGTCATTCCCAGAGTGCTGATTGGTGGTCATATGGTGTCCTTATGGTAAGTAGTGTTTTTTTTTTAATTATGCCAATATACAATTAGTATTGTTTAGAATTTTAATCTGAGTGTTGGGATGTGTTAGGTGAGAATAGGGTTCTCAAGTTCATGACTGTTAAAAAACTTGATTGGCTAGCTGTTATACAATAAAAATTAGGGTTTTGGTGTTCTGATTTCTTTTAGTTGCTAGATTAAAAGGTAAATGGCAGCATTCTTTTACAAGTTATTCAAATTTAAAACTTAGATAAAGGCCTACCAGATTTTAGATTTCAGAATACTGTGTTTAGTAGTTACATGGTATTTTAACTAGGTATCACAGAATTTAGCACCTTATGGTATATTATCTTATTGTCACATTTTTTCAAGCATGTCCCTAGAAAGATTGCCCTCTTAAGGAGGGCAATCCTGTCTTCTACTACTTATAATCTCCCACAGTATCTAGCATAATGAGCATATGGACTGACTGATTTGGCATAAGATTAAGCATAGAATTTGTAGTATTAAGTAGGGTGATAAGTGAATAGCTGTTGAATCAGATACAATTTGCTCTAGAAGCCTGATAATCCATTTTTGCCTCTTTATCACTGAATTACCGTATGATGTATCAATATATTAAGTGGCTATTATAAGCCTGGGATTTGGTAAGGGCAGTGGGGTGGGAACAGATGGAAGTACAATATTTGGCATTTTCCATGACCTAAGAAAGCATGCTATCTGGTTGGGGAAACAAATGGAATAGCTAAATAAACTGCCTGGAAATACCTTAGAAGTTCAGGCAAGAATTCATATAAGTTGATGTAAGAAAAGCGGAGGAGATAGAACTTAAATTAAGCCCTAAAGAATGGATAAAATTCAAATAGCTGTGTGTCAAGAAGAATAGTATTGTGATAGTATTAGGAAAGACCTGGAGAACCAGTTTGACTAGAGTAGTAGTGGAGAATGAGGGTGAAGGTGGAGGAAATGAGGCTATAAGCCTATAAGGATTTGCACGCAATTCTCTGGGTGGTTGGAAACTTTTGTAGATTCTTGAACACGACAGTAATTAGAGAAAAAATGTATTTTAGGAAAATTAGCCTTGGTAGCATTATATAAATGGCTTGCAAATGGAGGAAACTGAAAGTAGGGAGACCAAGAAGTTCTCCTTAGAAGACAGTTGTAAGATTATAGAATGAAAAAAAGGAGATCTTAAAGACATTTCAAGGTAAGAAGTGGCTGACCTTAGTAACAGATTAAATGCCACAGATGAAGCAGAGGGGAAAGGTCAAAGATAGAGATACCTCTAAAACTTCAGGGGATCGAAAGAAAGGTAGTTCAATAGAAAAGAGATAGCTTGGAAGGACAGATGATTTTGAAAGTGGGGAAATAATTTATTTTTAACACGTTGCATAGGTTACTGTGGGTTAGTGTTTAACCCCTTGATAGTAATGAATTAGGAGAGGGCAGTGGAGAGAGCATCAGAATCATCTGAAGACCTTAAAAAACAACAACAACAACAACAACAGCAACAACAAAAAATTACTCTGCCAGCCAGCATATAGTTTATTTGAGGGGAAGGTGTGATTCCAATGTACTATCCTTCTCTTTTTCTTTTTGTTCTTGCCTTTCCACCTCTTACTCCTCCAGTCCCCAGGAGAGAACCATTATTTTAGGTTTGGGGGCAGGGGACTGGAGCTTGAGAGAGATGATCCCCATACACCATACTTCCCTTCGTCTTCATTCCCTTTCTATGACTCCTACCCCTATCTCTTCAGGCTCCAGTTGAGAACCATTACTTTAGATTTGGAAGGGAAAACTGGGGATTGAGAGAGATTGAAACTGGAATCGATTTGAGAGTCATCAGTCATCAGGAGAGAGTTGAATGCATAAGCTAACTAAGGTTGTAAGTTCAAATAAATGAACAGAGGACTGAGGCCAAAGCCATTTTTGAATCTAAGCTTAAGATTTAAATATTAGGGATATGAAAACGTTTCTCTCTAGTGAGCTATAATGGTCTTCATTTTCAGACCTACTTTTTCTTTTAAATATGATTATTTAATGTTGTAGTTATCCACATTTCAATTAACTCTCTTAGGGAAAAAGTTTTCATTATGCTGTGTACAACTGTCTCAAATTAAAATACATATATCAGTGTGTGGTGTGTGTATCTGTGTGTGTAGCTTCTTGTTTGGTTCCTTTTTTTTTTCGTAAAGAGAGCAAAGGGAATGAGAATGATTATCTTTCTTGAGCATGTATGAATTTGAAATGGCTCAGTACTTATTTTTGCTTTTCTTTCACTGTTAAATGTTTGCTTTAAAAGCTTATCTTTGTTTTAAAAGAAAATGCCTTGTGTCTATTTCCACATTGCTTTGGTTTGAAGAATTTAGGATTGAAAAAATGGTTGGTTACATTTGCTACAAATCACCTCTCATTTGGCCTATATACTGTGGGGTACCAGAGGTGTATTTCCTTAAGTGACCTAGTTTTCTGGTCCTGTTTTGACCTACTATCATGTAGATTCTGCATGATTTGATGATCATGTATTACAAGTCTCATTTTTTTTCCTGAAGAATTTCATTGTAAATTCTAAGTTTTACTAAGTTGACTTGTGGTATTTTTTGTTTGTTTTAGTTTGAAATGCTTACTGGTACTCTGCCATTTCAAGGTAAAGACAGAAATGAGACCATGAATATGATATTAAAGTAAGTGTAAACATTTTTTTTTTCTTTTGGGAAAAATTCCTTGCTTTCAGTTTTGAGAAACTTGTTATGGTTTTCATTTGACACAAAAGAACATTTTTCACTGTCTCATTCCCTTCCACCGTATAGGGGACATTATTTGCCATTGTGATAGCATTCTTTAAAATTATTTTTGGGATTTATAAATTTAGAAGTATGGCTAGATTTAAATGAAATTTTCTGAAATCCTCTTTTCCAGAGCAAAACTTGGAATGCCGCAGTTTCTTAGTGCTGAAGCACAAAGTCTTCTAAGGATGTTATTCAAAAGGAATCCAGCAAATAGATTGGGTATTATTTATTTTCTTAACTTTTATAACAATATACTACATGCTTTGGGAGAATAATTATGACTTTATGTTTTCTGGCCTAAGTTCATTTACTACTGTTATGTGTTTATACGTAGAATTCTATGTTTTATGTATGCAAAGATTCCAGTAAACTCTGTTATACCCATCATTAAAAATGGAGTGGTCTAGTTATTCAGAACTTATGTTTAATATATATCATTATATCATATGAATGTCTCTTTTGACATAATTCACAGAGTTCTCCCTTCTATAGGTAATCCTTTTAGATATTTGAAGATAATTATTTTGTCCCTTCCAATATTCATCAAGATAAATGTTATGTTTCCATAACTGCTCATTATTTGGCTACTTTCTAGTAGCCTTTCCCTGGATCCAAATGTGATCCTATTATCCTGTTTATGTCCATGTGTTAAAATTTCGATGCCACTTTATTCATTGCATTTTTAATTTGGCCTATAGATATGAGATCATAAATTGAATTATGAAGAAAATGAAGGGGCTTCCCTGGTGGCGCAGTGGTTGAGAGTCCGCCTGCCAATGCAGGGGACACAGGTTCGTGCCCCAGTCCGGGAAGATACCACATGCCATGGAGCAGCTGGGCCCGTGAGCCATGGCCGCTGAGCCTGCACGTCCAGAGCCTGTGCTCCATAACGGGAGAGGCCACAACAGTGAGAGGCCGGTGTACCACAAAAAAAAAAAAAAAAAGAAAGAAAATGAAAATTGCTTAAATTTTAATGCTATGTTAGACATGATTTTTATTTGATTCAGAAGGTATTTTAGTATTTCATGATACCCTATGTGCTTCAGCATGAACATCAACTATTTTTTTTATTATATTGAATTCAGAGGACCAATTAATAAAACATCAGATAAGAAATTGTAAACTTTTCACTTCAAGGAATCTATGAAATGTGTGTACTCCTATTTACAGATAATAGCCTGGAAGCCAGGTAAGCAGATTAAAAAATTCAGACTGGTAAAAACATTCTTTCCATTTTTATAGGTTCAGAAGGAGTTGACGAAATCAAAAGACATCTTTTTTTTGCAAATATTGACTGGAATGTAAGTTCAGTAGCAAGTTCGTTACTGAGTACCTTTAATAAAAGCAAAAACTCAAGAGTAAATGGTAATATATGGACTTTGCTGATAAACTTAATCCATTTGTTTTATTTTTAGTATGAGATTTTATTTACAGGTGTAGCATTTCATGCAATTACCTTGAACCAGTAGATGTGTGGATGATATGTAGTAAATTTTTGTTGCTCATTTGTCTTACCTGTTAAATATGGTTAATATTCTCCCCTATTCTAGGTTGGGGAATGTGGGGGGAAGAAGAGAAAGGAGAAAGGGGATGAATCATAGGACAGATTCTTATAGAAAAATGAATTCTAAAGAATCTAAGATGTTATTTGATTTCAAATGGTTCTTTGTCATGTATTAGAACAAATTTAATTTGTTAAGAAGTGAAAATCTTTGTATATAGGTATTTTACTAAATTTTGAGAGAACATGAAAACAGAAACATTGTGAAATTCTGCAAAGTCATGTATTAAATTTTTTTAAGTTGCAACTCCCAGACTAATGAGCTTTTCTTAGAAAAGCTCACTTTTTATTGTTGTTTACAACTCAGCTTTATGTATTTTATGTACTATTAATCATCATAGGTAAGTGTTTTTGATTATTTAATTCTGGCACTGGTATTGAAAATTATCCCTAAAGAAAAAGTGTCTCTTTTGGTTTCTAAGGCAGAGGTAGAGAGCCACTAGTCACTGACCAAATTATTATTTCTTCTGGCTTGTAGAACAGGTTTCAGAAGTTAATATTTTGATTTAGTTTTTATAGTTGTAAAACTGCAACACATTAATAGTATAAATAACCTGAAAGGCCACACAGTGAACATACTGCATGGGAGTCTGCCCTTTGTCACATCTGTGTGCATCCCTCTTTCGGTGTCCTTGCATTCCCTTGTCATTTTTTTCTAATGCTTCTCTGCTCTTCCTTTTTCTTTAACTAGAAAAACTAGAAATGATTTTTCCATTATTTTTATATCTAAACAGTTTGTTTATTCTTCTTAAATAATAAGAGTGGAATGTGTACATGTTTAAATAAATGAAAATTACTTTAAAGTAATCCTCTATTAATTTTCCCTCACTGTGAGACTGTGAGCTTTTAAAAAAGTAGATTTCCAAAAAATAGTTATGTTGTAAGATATTTTATATGTCTTTCCAAAACATAAATTTTAGGAAGTTAGATTGTTAGACAAGTTTCAATTTTTGAATTCTATAAAAAGAGCTCTAATCAGTGCATCTAATACATATTATTATGTGAAAACAAAATAGGTATAATGCATATTTCTTGGAGTTAGACTAATTATTAATTTTGATATCCTAGAATGTTATTAGTTATTTCTGCATGGTAACATTGTGATATGTTCTGTATGGTTATTTTACCAGTGAGAATTCAAGTCAGTTTTTGAAATCCAAAACTGAACAGAATTATTCCTCGTGAATGCAACCTGTGGCATTGCTGCTGTGTTTCTTGGTCTCATTTGATTCTGTACATTATCTCTCAAGTTTAGATGATACACAGAATTTGGTTAACAGGTTAGAATTTGGTTAACAGGTATCTGAAGCCTGTTGAAATTTCATTTATGAAATTGTGAGTCTTCTGTTAAGGACTGTGAATATCATGTTCTGCTTTAATAATTTTTCAAGTATTAATACATTTCTGTGTTATTCTGTTATTTCTTCTAGAAATTATATAAGAGAGAAGTTCAGCCTCCTTTCAAACCGGCTTCTGGAAAACCAGATGATACTTTTTGTTTTGATCCTGAATTTACTGCAAAAACACCTAAAGGTAATGCATGTTTATGTGTAACATAAGGGCTTTTATTCAGTTAGATGGTTAAAAAAGTAAACTAGCTTCTTAGGTAAAAACTAAAAGAATTGTAAGTTTGCAGAGGGTGGTTTGCCCTGTGTGGAAGTGTGGATCCTATATACAGCATTGCTTGGACACCTTTCAAACAGAGGCTTTACATGGGAAGTATTTACTAGGGAAGCAGAGACTAGAGCAAAGGGTGAACATTTTCTTTTTTTCTTACTTTCAAAGTTTTTTGACATGCTAATGCATTAAAGGATGGGGATAAGAGGTAAGATATGAGATATATCACTCTGACTCTTATAGTTTACAATTTAATGAGGTTTACTTTTATTGGCATCTGTTTCATACATTCATCAACAAATATTGAATACCTACTATGTACTAAGCAGTGACAGTGTAGAAGTGAACAGAACAGACAAAAATTATAATCTACATGGAGCTTGCATAATAGTATGGGGAAACAGATAATACAAAATAAATCAAATACCTAATATAGTATGTCTGATGATAACATTTAATGGTTTCCTTTATATTCAAAGAAATGTTCACATTTCATATCATAAAATTCTGTGTAGTTCTAATTAAATATAATTATTTGGACATTAGATTCTCCTGGTTTGCCAGCTAGTGCTAATGCTCATCAACTCTTCAAAGGATTCAGCTTTGTTGCAACTTCCATTGCAGAAGAATACAAAATCACTCCAATCACAAGTGCAAATGTATTACCAATTGTTCAGGTAAATTCCACTTACATTATTCAGATTGGGGATAATTATTTCTTTCAGTTATTGCTAATGGATTTACAGTGGTTTTTAAGTGATTTTCAACTGCTTCATTTATCTCTGTATAATGAATTAAAGATGTCTCCATATGTTTTGGAAAAAAGCAGACAGTAGTAACCTTTAATTATATTTATGTGATCTCTTTTGGCAAGAAAATGTAATGGGTGATGTATTAGCTAGTTGATTTAATTATTGTATTGGCTTTGGGGATCTAGAAAGTCTACAATTTAGGATCAGTTCAGAATCTGTGTAAACCATTTATAAATACTGATAAAACTTCTCTAGAATTATTCTTGATTTTTAAAAGATTTAAGAAGAATGTATACTTAGGAGAGAAGATAAAAAATGTGAAACCATATCATTCTATTTTGTATTTTACTTTTTAACAAAAACAGATAAATGGAAATGCTGCACAATTTGGTGAAGCGTATGAATTGAAAGAGGATATTGGTGTTGGCTCCTATTCTGTTTGCAAACGATGCATACACACTGCTACCAACATGGAATTTGCAGTGAAGGTATTGTCTCTGAGGCTAACTTTTTTTTGTTTGTTTTATATGTGTAAGTTAAATTGCAGGTCAACTGACAGACAGTTTTTCAGTGGAGCAAGTGGAGAAAGCAAAGATAAAATGATGAGGAAAACCTCTTAAGACTTAATATTTTCATTTTGAATTTCTTTCCAAGACTTTATTTTGTTCAATAAAAAAAGACTTATTTTGGAGGAACAGTGTGTTTCATGAATGTCTTGCTTTGAATAATTTTATTTTAATGTAGTATGTTAAGATTGAGCAATTGTGACAATTACTGTCACATTTGGATCAAATTATCAGTATAGTTTTAGTTAGATGGAATATAATGTTGAAGAAAGTGCTCTGTTTTTTATTGTTTCAGTTATAGGAAATTTTTAAATATTAAAATAATGTGAGACAAACATTACTCTGGAGTTTTATTATTTGCTTGAAAATATAACCAAATTTAAATTATGTCATTCATTTTTAGACAAAGAAAATATTTTTCCTCTGAGATTTTTCTTGTCTTATTTCTTAGATCATTGACAAAATTAAAAGAGACCCCTCAGAAGAAATTGAAATTTTGATGCGCTATGGACAACACCCTAACATTATCACTTTAAAGGATGTAGGTATTTAAAATCTGTGTATCAGCTAAGCTAATGAAGTTATGACTTGGCACTTTATTTTCTTATTGAAACTTTTCATGTCCATGGTATGTTTACTTTCATGCCACAAAATCTTAAGACTCTTAAATTTGCCACTTCAGTTCTTCTTTTTCCCCTGATGATTTTATACTACTACCCTTCTTATAAAACGTCAGAAAGGAACTATGACGGTTGGTAAATGAGAGTGTCCTGATTACTTGAATGTATTCTAGCTGTTAACTAGTTAACATTATCACCAGCAACATTTATTATTCTCTAGTACTACAAGTATAGAAGATACAGGAGATTGGGAATCTGCCAAATTCTAGGAGATTTTACTTTCTTGATTGTACAGCAATTGGCTGTAGCACTGTGTATTGTTGCTTGGCTGAAATAGTATTAGTCTACTTTTTTAAAAGTGAACATATGACTTATAGTAATAGATGTTACTGAATGCTGACTTTTCATGTAAAGAAAATAATGCTCTTTCCTCTGTAGAAAAGGCAGACAATAAACCATCACCTTGATCAGTTTGTTTCAGATAATATGATATACATTTTGATTTATAATCCTTAAATAGTATTTTATATATATGTAAATGTATGTATGTGTGTGGATAGATAGATATATGTCTACACATATGTGTTTGTATGTGTAGATGTAGATATCACGTGCTCTGAATAAAAGGGTGTACATATTTTTAATATATTCTCCTTGATATAGTATTTGAATTCAACAAATATTTAAGACACCATGTCAGATAATAGACTATGGGGAAGATATTAAAAAACAAATAATATATTTACTGCCAGAAGGAAGCTTACTATCATTAAGGAAGGAAAGTGCCTATAATACAGTAAAAAAGTGAGACAGATGCCATTTGAGAGGCACAAAGTTCTATTTTTCCATTTATATTCTTTGATGAAGTATAACAGAAAACTTCAAAAGCTAATACAATTATATGTTTAACATGGTCTCACAGAATGGTGTAAGAGTCCATTTAGCCAGTTTAACCTTCAGTAGAGCCTGCACTATATTAATACTAAAGGAATAATATTTTTTAACACTAGAGGTTCATTAGAAAAGCAAAGTAAATATAATTTAAAACATTTCAGAATTGTAATTATAAATAATATCATTTTGAAAATATGTTCTTTTTTAGGTTTATGATGATGGTAGATATGTTTACCTTGTTACGGATTTGATGAAAGGAGGAGAGCTACTTGACCGTATTCTCAAACAAAAATGTTTTTCAGAACGGGAAGCTAGTGATGTACTGTTTATAATAACTAACACAGTTGACTATCTTCATTGTCAAGGAGTAAGTTGTAGTTATAGTCTTCCTTTTAATTCTGGGGCTTATATCTTCACAAAATAATATATAGGATATGACACCTAAAATGAATTACTTTTTATCACATATTTTTATACGGAATAGCCTAATAAAATTCATAATTTAGTGAAGGTTATAGGATTAGGAAATTGGGTAATACCTTATTAATTTTCTTCACTCTACCTGTTAGCCCTAATTTAATAGCATATTAGTTTTAAAAGTGGTTTGAATTATATATCTAACCTTGACTTTTAAATTATTAAACCTAATCAAACTTAAAAGTGAAACATAAAAGAGTTATCCAAGGGCATGTTGTGAATATTATTCAGATTATACTATGCCTAGCATGAAAGTTCTGGCAAGACTGCATAACTTGATTGTTGCCAGCCCCTCCCCCAATACAGTAAGAAATTTGGATTCTAAACATTTGAAGTATTACTATATTGAAATTTCTAGTGGAGGTGCAGGCCTGTTATTTTGCTTCCTATCTCTTCATAAAGAAAGCAAATGAACTGAGTTATCAAAACAAGGTAACTTTTATTATATATATAGCTAAACAAGAAAAGAGAGTCACAAATAATTTAAAAATGTAAGTTTGAATAGTTGTAGTAGTAGATATGTACCCACTTACATATAAACAATAAAACAATGAACGACTCAGAAATGACATAATGAAAATTCTACAGGGGCCAGAACTCATTTTTGAGTGTGGTTTTACAGAGTACGTTTTCAGCATTTTGAAATATAAATTGTATAATGCTAAAGGAGTAGTTCTATAATAATTTAATTCCTTGATTGTCTTTATCAACACACTCTAAAATAAAGGATGACCAGAATTTTTGAGAAGAAGAAAATGATAAACATCTCTTTTGTTTATTATTTTAGAAATTAAACACTACATCAATTAGGTAAATTAATGAGAAACGTGTTGAGCATTTCTACATGCCAGACATTATAAAAGGTATTGCAGATTCAACCATGGGTTTAAGTCTTGATCCTTGTCTTGAAAGACCTTTTAATGTAGTAAACTGCTGATTAAAAATAGGACTAGATTGAATGAAGTAGATAGTGTATCAGAAAGAAAATCATCACAGAGAATTTCAGAATATTTTCCATTTCTAGCATTTCATTTGGTTCTTACTGTTTCTGTTTTTCTGCCGAGTTTTCATGCATTGAAAGTGTTTTGTTTTACTACGTTATTTTTTTTAAATTTCTCTTATATTTATTTAGTCTTGTGAATGTTGAACAAAGGCATTTTGATGAGCTATAATTGACATACAACATTGTGTACGTTTAAGGTGTACATGTTGATTTGAGACATTTATATGTTATTTTGCCACCATAGCATTACCTAGCACATCTATCATATCACAATAATAGCCACTTTAAAATGCTTGCTGTTAGGTCCAACATGGTTTATATTGGAGTTGGAATTGATTTTCTTTTTTCTTGAAACTGTGATCTGTTTTGGGGGGAGGGGTTCTTTGTATATCAGATAATTTTGGATTGTGTACTGCACATTTGTGTATTAACGTACGGAGATTTATTATATTCTGTTATTTTTCTCCAGTGATTATTTTTTGTTTTGTTTTCAGTGGGTAATTTTCTTAGGAGGGTTTGTGCTGAAAAATCTGCTTTGTGACAAGTATGTACTCCCCACCAGAGTCTTGTCTCCTTTTGCTCATTCCCCAGTACCTTCAAGGTAGTTGATTTTTCTACTTAGGTTTTATAGTTGTTTACCGTGGGGAGGGGGTGTTGAGTAGGGTCTTAGTCCATTATATCTACAAGTGGAACTGATAATTGAGTTTTGAGATTGGAAGTGGTTAACAAAACTGGTGGCTTGATAAAAACTGGCACATCTGGGGCTTCCCTGGTGGCGCAGTGGTTGAGAGTCCGCCTGCCGATGCAGGGGACACGGGTTTGTGCCCCGGTCCAGGAGGATCCCACATGCCACGGAGCGGCTGGACCCGTGAGCCATGGCCGCTGAGCCTGCGTGTCTGGAGCCTGTGCTCCACAACGGGAGAGGCCACAATAGTGAGGGCCCACGTACCGCAAAAAGAAAAAAACAAAAATAAAAAACCTGGCACATCTGTCTGATAGAGATAATTTTGTCTGTGTACTTCAGGTTGTCAGGGCCATCATGGTTGGAGAAAGTATCATTTTCAAAATTTTATGATTGAGACATTTCCCTTTCCTGGAAATATATTAACTTACAATGTTTTATTCCACAGATATTTAGTTAGCTATAGAATTGTAAAGCTTTTTTTTTTAATGTTCAAGGTTGTTCATCGTGATCTTAAACCCAGTAATATTTTATACGTGGATGAATCAGCCAATGCAGACTCCATTAGGATCTGTGATTTTGGGTTTGCAAAACAACTTCGAGGAGAAAATGGACTTCTTTTAACTCCATGCTACACTGCAAACTTTGTGGCACCTGAGGTATTCTTTAAAACTTCAGTATTTGCCTTTCATTCTTTTCCTTTAGTTAAATGTATTTGATATCATGTATATGTTATGGTAGGTAGGTAAAAGCTGAGTTATCTTGTCCTTTCCCAGCTATAAAGCTCTTTAAATCATTGAATTCTGATAACTCCCAATATAAATATTCAAACTAATAACTAGCATCTGAAACCAACCTGAATGTAATAATCAGATTATTCTATTCTGCTGGGTTACATGGTGGTTTCAGAATCATACCCTTTTAGAGCAGGGCAGAGAGTGAAGATAACCTCACCTTAAACATATTAAATATTCTAAAGGAGGAAACTGAGGCTCAAAATACTTAATATCAGCATTCACTGTGTAACAAAGCCAGGATAGATTTTCAGATATTTTGGTTTGTGCTGAACATGAAGTGATTTATATTGTTTAGCATTATACATAACATGGGCAATGCCATCCCCGATTATCTTTAAGATCTTCTAATTCATGGAGAAAACAGCTTCACAGGGTTTTTTAAATAAGCGGTAGGGTTTTTCTTGGCAAATAACATTCGTATGTAGATCTTAGAAGAGACAGGAAAGGTGAAGATGAGGAAGTCAAGGGGTGCACGTTTCACATTTGGCAAGCTCCAGCAGTCTGTCAGTTCTGATAATGGGGATGGGAGCTTTGACAGTAACAACTCCCACAGCAGTGAAAGTATGGGTGATGAAAAATGAATCAGGGATGGCATTGGTCATATAGATTGTTTATAAGTTTTCTTTGTAAAAGTCAAGAACTGTTCTTATATGTTATGAATAATGCTAAGTCATATGAATTATCGGATGTTTAACACAAATGAAAATACACAGATATCCTCAGGTTAGAAAAATTGAATTTTCCAAGTCAGAAGAAGAATAAAATAATTTGAGGATGAATTCCTATCTCATGTGCATGTTTTTTTTTGCATTAAATACTAGTCCTTTATGGATAATATTGCACATCAGATATAATACAAGACACAGCATATTTCTTATATTGAAATATCAACAAATCTGTATTTTAATGTAGCTATTAGAAAAATAATATTTCTAGTGATGAAAATAGAAACATAGAAAATAGGAAAATAACTTTCTAATAGTGAAAAGTTCCCATGTTAAAATTTATTAAATCTTCCTTTAAGATGTTAATGTTGAGGAAGAAGTATAACACCTGCTTTACAGGGTTTTTATGATATGATTTTCCCTGTAAGAAATTGTGTATGTATGCAGAGAATGTGCTCTAATCTATATTTTAATTATATTCATAGAATAATGAATGTACAAATTTTTATCACATTAAAATATATAGAAACTGTATGTCCCAAAACAAAAATTGGGATGCATACATGATCCAAGAAGGGGTTATTGTACTGCCCCCAGATGTAAGAGATATCTTAGGCATAAAAAATTAGCTTTTCTAGGGCATTTTAATGGTTTTATAGAATAGGAAGATAGAAATTTGAGATTAAGGTTCTTCTGTTAAATATAGGGTATACTGTATATTTCTCATTTCATTAAAATGAAAAATATACAGTATGTCTGTGTTTAGATTAATGGTTAGGTAAACATTTTTAGATTAATGGCTAGGTAAACATTTTCCTAGGTAAATGAGTACAAATCTGCAGAGTAGAATACAGCCCATTGATGCTTTTTATCCTAACAGACTTCCATTGTAGTAAGACACTCTCACCATTGTAATAGTGAAGGTTTTCAGGTGGGCATGTGGAGACCACTTGTCTGTAACTAATGCCTCTAGTGTCTGAACTACCTTTGGCTAGGTTATAATTTGTATTTTCAAAATGCTTTGAAAAGTTTTATTATCAAGAGCTGAAGCCTCTGCTAGCAATCAATGCATATTTGTAAATTGTTATAAATGTAAAACAGGTTTGGGGTAAGATTTGTTTCTAAAATTTCAGACCCCTTCAAAAATTATTAGTGAAGTGAAATGCATTATCTTTTCAACTAGAATCAGAAAGATTCAAGTATCCATGCAGATATTTGAATAAATAATAGCATTTATGAGAGTATAAATTCATTATTCATCACAGTTCATTAAGATTCCTTATTTGCTAAAAGAGAAACTAATTAGTAGTACTAATTTCAGCTGAACAATAAGGAATATTCATTCACTTTTTTGATATGCATCAATTCAGTCAACCTCTTAAGGCTTATTTACTTAATAGATGTGCTTTTGTACTATACCTATGTCACAAAAATTAATGTATCTCAAAAAATATTTATTCTTTTATAAAAGCAAATCTATCATATTATTCAACTGACATTTAATGTCTACTGAGGTCTAAGAATGATCCTGAACTAAAGGAATTTACAATATATTGGATGGATGCTATGCCTGCAACTCTTTTTAAAAAGTAAATGTGAAATTACCCTGCTTTGCTCTGGCTTTAGGCTGTCATATGTTTTCCTCCAAATATGAATTTATCTGAATGAGCATCTCTGTCTATGTTACATTTTGATGATTTGGGAAGCCAAATGAGAGAGAAAGTAAAGTCATTAACTACTTTAATTTTGACTTCTATCTTCTTTGTATTTAACTTGATGCAAGTAAGAAGGTATGAAGCACGTTACTTTCTACATTGTACTCTTTCCTTCATCCCGCTACCTTGCCTTTTTTTTTTATGGCTGTATGTTCTTACTATTAATAGGACATTGAGATCTAGAACAAAAGTAGACTGCCTCTTCTTTACAGCTACAAAATGGGTTTAAGTGTGTGGTAAAGCTAAACCAAGTTTTTCATGATTGATCCTAATTAGATTAAGCAATATGATCCCTCCAGTGCCTTTCTTCTCATTAACTCTGAAGGTTTTGGGAGTATGAAATACCTATAGCTGACTCACTGATTAACCCTTGCCTGTCCAACTAGTTCACTAAGCAGTCCCTCAGCCTTGGCTTTGCATTGGATCATCCGGGAACCTTTAAAAATATTGTCCTAAGGGAACCAGGGAAAACATGGTGATGCCCAGAACTGCAAGAAATGATGAGAGGGCTTCCCTGATGTAGCAGTGGTTAAGAATCCTCCTGCCAATGCAGGGGACATGGGTTCGAGCCCTGGTCCGGGAAGATCCAACATGCCGCAGAGCAACTAAGCCTGTGCACCACAACTACTGAGCCTGTGCTCTAGAGCCTATGCTCCACAACTACTGAAGCCTACAAGCCACAACTACTGAAGTCCACATGCCTAGAGCCCATGCTCCACAACAAGAGAAGCCACTGCAATGAGAAGCCCGTGCACCGCAACGAAGAGTAACCCCCACTCACTGCAACTAGAGAAAGCCTGCGCACAGCAACAAAGACCCAATGCAGCCAAGAATTATAAATAAATTAAATAAATAAATGTATTTTAAAAAAAAAGGAAGTGATGAGAAAAGGAAAGAGATAAGGGAAAAAAGCAGGAGAGGTTTATGTTTCACTAGAGGATGCCAGGTTAGGCTTATCGTGATGTGAATTGTTTAGCTCTACCTCATTATTTATTAGGGCCTTTGTAGTCTCCACTAGTGTTATTTACATAAGCCAGTTAAATAGGTATTTTGATAGCCTATTCAGCTTCCCAAGTTTGCAGATACGTGTGCTCTTATAAATACACTTTGACTATGAAAAAAACATTATATCTTGAATTTTAAGTTAGTTAGATACGTATTATTCAAGTCTGGCCATTGTCAAAGCTAAACATTAATATTTTTAGCCTTTTATAAATGAAATGTCCATTCTGGTGGTTATACAGTCCCCAGTGTTAACGCATTAATAATGTTTCTATTTTGTTCCTATGTCTAAAGGCTTTAGCAGTGGGCTTGTTTTTCTAAATTTAAAAAAAGGCCTCATTTCACCTCAGACGAGCTATTAACTTCACAGAGAATATTCACATGAATATATAATAAATATGTTATTTGATTTTTATTAATACTAGTCTCAAAAGAAAAAAGCTACCTAAATTATTATATGAAAAATTAACAAAATCATTCAGAATTTATCAAATGTGTGTTTGTGATCCAGAAATATACTGATTTTTTTTAAGACATGAGCCTTGTATATAAAATATAAATTCATCTTGCTTTCATGAGATTATATATTATCTTACCACCTCTTGTGTAATAAGGAGGCAATTATCATAGATATTAAAATCACAGACACTAGAGTAAGAATGCCTGCTCCACTACTCACTAGTTTTGTGATATTGGGCAAATTACTTACCATTTACGTCAGTTTCCTCATCTTCAAAATGGAAGTAATATCTATCTCATAGAGTCAGTGTTAGGGTTAAAAGACAGTACTCTGTGTAGAATATATTAAGCTCTCTATACATATTATTTTAAATTTTGATGTGTCTGGATTTCCTGAGAGGAGGAGTGAAAGCTCATTGAGGTCAGGGATCATATCTTTAAAGGCTGTTTTTTTGTATCACTCATGTTGCTTAATCACATTAATAGCCACTTATTGAATGCTTGTTAATTGCAGAAGACTTTCCCTTTAACATTGTGAATTTATTTTTGAAAAGATTAAAATGAGCTAAATTGTGAACATTTGTGAGATTATTAGAAGCACAACTTTGTTTTAGGTGAGAAAACTGAGTTTATACTGAGTAGTACCAGATGAGTATTTCTTTCTCAGGTTCTTATGCAACAAGGCTATGATGCTGCTTGTGATATTTGGAGTCTGGGAGTCCTTTTTTACACAATGTTGGCTGGGTAAGAAATTTATATACTCAAATTAATTCACATCATTATTTGAATTTCACCTGTATATTTTCATCTAGAAAGAGAACAGATGAAAATAACCTTAAGGAAAATGCTATCAATATTTCAAAATATTATATACTTATAAAATTAAAAAAATAAGGTGTTTAAGGAGGCATTATTTAGATATATAATTAAAAGATTGTTCAGTTAGAACTAAAACTTCAAAATAAAGCATTTATTTTTATTTTGATATTTTACATTTGAGTGCATTACTTTTTGAAAATGTTTACTTGAGCATGAAATAATTTCATGGTTCAGCAGATGCTTACCCCTGAACTTGCTGGTGTTAATTTTTTTTAAGTACTTGAATTTTCGTTCTCTTGGCAATAGAGATTTAGTAAGATCGAGCTTTATAACAAAGCTAAATAAAGTGGTAACAATACTAAACTACAGAAACACGCACAGCTGCCTTCTTTTAAAAGGATAAAGAAATACTAAAAAATGTAACCATTGGATTGTGTTAATATTGTTAATTTATAAATAATACCAGTGCTGTTTTAATAATGAGTAGCACTTTTATTTAGGAGTAAAAATGTGTAGCCGTAGATAAAGGCTAGGTTTAGCAAAGTCTAATGTGTAGAATGAAATTTGAAGAATTATAATATAATTGTACTTAGGTGTGAGTTTTTAAAGAAGCCATTTAGTATAATTAAATATGCTTGATGTAGCAGGAGCTTTATAAAGATAAGTTATGAAAATGGTGACTCTAAATTATTTATTGGCTTGGTGATAATTACATGTCAGTATATTCCACGTACTTTTAGACATAGGCAAAATAGTTATAGACCACAGCAAGTGCTAAAGTTAAGGGTAGCTCAAGTTTTCATGTGAACAGCAATCAGCAGTATTGGTTTCAAACCATGGGATACAATTTCTAGATAGCTGCTTTCAAATATTTACTTTATGACTAAACAAAACATTTTGTCTGTGTGCATATGTATGTGTGTTTTTGTCAACTTAATGGTTACATGAGAGAATTAACACATTAACATATTAAGACATCTTCCTCATACTTTTTAACCATAAGTCTTTCTGTTCCCAAATTTGAATACCATTTTTAGTTCCATTTGTTACAATGGTATAAAACTGATCACTTTTTGTCATTCTATAATTATTTTTTAAACTATTTTAACTTCATACAATGTATTTGTCTTCCTGTCTGTGAATACTGATCCATGTAATAATTTTAATGGCTATAGAGGATTTTTCTGTTACATTGATATAAATATTTAACCAGTTTTTCATAAACATTAATTAAAACTATTGTTAACTTGTTTTCACTGATAATATTGATAAAATGCTAATGAATAAATTTGAGCCAATTCAATAAATATATTATGAATATATAAAATTAACAATTTCTTCATAGTAGGTATATTTGGTTTGCTAACTTATGCCCGTGAGAATATAAAATTTGCATGTTTCATTCTGGTCTGATTTTCAGAATGTAGAGCTACATAAAAAGCTACCTTTATTTTATTTTACATTGATTAACTGATCAAAGGCAAAAAAATGATTGCTGTAGGCAAGACTCTTCATTTTATTAAATAATTCATTAGGATTAAGTTTATTGTTCAAAATATAAAATTTGATATGAACAGTAAAGGGAAATTTTAGGTGGTATTCTTAATTTGCTATAGTAAATATATTCTTGTAGTTCTATACTCATCACTTTCAATTAGATTTAATATATATGTTAGGCCCTTATGTATACTTAAATCTTTTTTTATTAATAGATATACTCCATTTGCTAATGGCCCCAATGATACTCCTGAAGAGATACTGCTGCGTATAGGCAATGGAAAGTTCTCTTTGAGTGGTGGAAACTGGGACAGTATTTCAGATGGAGCAAAGGTATAAATTATAGATGTTTTGTTTTGTTGAATTACTGTTAATTCCTGAAATCTTTAAGTTATAGCCTAGTCTGCATTCGCAGAGTATCTGATGGTGTTTTATGTCAGTATTTGTTTTTAAATCACAGTATTTGTTTTTAAGTCAACTCACATATATGTGTGGATTGAAGAAGACAAAGGCTGATTTTTTTTTTTTTTTTTTTTGCCATGCTTCTGGGACACATTTCTCTCTTATCAGTTCACATGTGATCAGGGAATATAAACCACTTCCAGTATTAACCAAAACCAAAAATGTAAATCTACTGAGGAAAAATACATAAAGCCAACTAAAGTTGGTTTCTGCATTTAATATGTTTTTACACATCATATCTTCTTTAGCACAGACATTGACTAGTGATTATGTAGGTGATTTTTATATGTTAACTTATTCTTAGAGAATATACAAACTTTTTATCAGTTGTACCTAGATATTTACGATTGATGGCTAAGAGCTGTTCAATAGAAATGTTCAATATGCAAGCCACGTATGTAATTTTAAAATTTCTAGTAGTCACATTAAAAAAAAAATAAACAGGCAAAATTAATGTTAATAATATATTTTATTTAACCTGGTATATCCAAAATATTTCAACATCTAATCAATATTTTAAAAATTAGTGAGATTTTACATTCTTTTTTCATACTAATTTTTCAAATTCTTGTGTGTATTTTATACTTATAGCCCGTCTGAATTTGGACGTACCTACATTTTAAAAGTGCTTAATAGCCACAGGTGGCTAGTGGCTGTCGTTATTAGTGAAGTTTAAAAGTAACTGGCCTTACTTAATTTAGGGAAAAAATAATAGGTCAAGGCTTGAATATTAATTCTTACATTTATAGTCTAAAAATTTTAAGTTTTAAAACAACAACCCAAAGTTGTCAGCATGTGGTTTATAGGGCCCTGAAGCTTTTAAGCTACATTTTGAAGTAGAAAACATTTTAAGACAAAAGGATTTGCTTGTATTTAATATCTGCTAATGATAAAACCTAATTGTCTCAGGGACATTAGCTAATCTGTAGGATACATTATGTAGTAAATCTTGTATCCTGATCACTGTAGAATAAAAAAATCAGGGATTTGATTATCATTACCTTTCAAACATTAGAAACACAGGGAGGGGATTGTGTTTGGATCTTAGCCATAACACAAGTGTGCTGTGTGGTGTAGTAAAAGGAACACCTGATTGGAAGCCAAGAGAACTGAGTGCTAGTTTTTGATCTACTAACTGCCTGCCTCAGTTTGCTCATCTGTAAAATTTGGGGATTAAGTTCTCCCTTTGGTTCCTTCCAATTCCAAAATTCCATTTCTATGCAATTTGGTTTATTTATAATTTGTCAGATTTCCCTTTATAAAGTGATTTAAACTACTAATATTATTCATTAAATATATGTATTTTCTAATCAGCCAGGTCATGCGTCAAAAAGTACATTTTCCCAAGGAACAATTCCAATGTTTAAAGCTATACACATGAAACTCTTGTGTTCCTCTAAAAAAAAATAACTAGCAACAGTGAATCTAATGCTGAAATAGAGATTTATATGCCACTTGTGCTTAGATTTTTGGTTTTCCATGTTCTATGTGTTTTATGTTTGCGTCTGTGTAATGCTTAAGGAATAATAGATATCAAAATTCAGTTTTATTCTTACCTCATTTAGTCTGATATTCTGGAGAAATTAACATAGAAAAATATATTGGGGGATGTTGAAATATTTCACAAGGTCTTTCATGTATTCCCTTTTTATGGATTAAATTACTTTAGTTCTGTCTTTGGAATTTTTCTGAAAATGGTGGCAGATTACTGAGCAAATGAGCTATATGAACTTTAAAAAAAATCTGTACATTTTAACAGTTCGATAATTTCTTGTCTGTTTTAAATTAGTGATGAAGGTAAACTATTGTTCAGTTACCCATAACTCCTTATACTAGTTCCCTTTAGTTGGGAGAACTGTAACATTTACTGTCACCTCATGACAATTGTTTTACTCAATTATAGTTCCTTATAAGTTGTTTTTCCCTTTCCAGTGCTTTTCTTGACCTTGGTGAGTATCACTATCAGAAGCATATAGAAAATGATTCTGTTTGCCTCCTGTCCATGCACAGTTCCTAGAATTCGTTCATGCAATTAAATGGGGTGGGGGTGGGGGTGATAGTGGAAGTCATGTTAGCTTTGTGTGTCTTATTGCTACAATAGTTTCAGCATTGAGAACATTGACATTGCTGCTTCCCTTTTGTTAAACAGTGGGGACAAGGAGAAGAATCTGGTAAACAAAACAAAAGTAGAAGAGGCAAGAGAGTAATGAAATTTTCATGGTGTCACAATATATTAAAAATAAACACAGTAATACCTGATTAATTACAAGGCATTTCTATCTAAATTTTACAATAATTTAAGTAAGTAAAATGTCACTTATTTCAAATACATACACCCTTGACCAAAAAAAGAATTGCCCAGTAGAAGTTTTTACAGGACGGTTATTTGTGGCTTCCTCCCTTGCCTTCTTTAAAAAGAGCAACTTGTGCTTTTCCTCAACTGCATTCCTATTACTGCATTGAATGTACTTTTATTAGAGTATTAGTACTTAATCACTTTCTCCCTGGTTATATATTCATTTGTATGCGTTTTTACTTTTCCCACTCAGGGAGCTTTAAATGTCATATTCACTTTTGCATTTCCTATCATACCTAGCATAATAAATACTTAATTGAATACTCTTTTCACAAGCTATTTAATCTTTTCCTCAAGTATACCTTGCATTGTTAATTTACACTCTAAGCTTTTTTTTGTCCAATATAGAAATATAAATATTTTCCTATTGTGAATGACTATAAATTTGAAATAAGTGGTCGTTTTTTTTTGATTAATCAATATAATGCCAATTTATAATAACACCAAGTTCTCATTATATGTGGGTCATTTCTTGAGCACTCTGAACTGTTACATTGACATACAGTACTTGCCCACTCCCATGCCAACATTACACTACTTTTATTTTAAAAGTCTTGTTATTGCATAAATAAGTCTCCACACCTTATCACTACCACATCTTCTTCCTCTTCAAAATTGTCTTGGCTGTTTTGGTTCTTTCTTTTTTTTTTATACAGCAGGTTCTTATTAGTCATCAGTTTTATACACATCAGTGTATACATGTCAATCCCAATCACCCCATTCATCACACCACCACCCCCAGCCCCCCACGGCTTTCCCCCTTTGGTGTCCATACGTTTGTTCTCTACATGTGTGTCTCAATTTCTTCCCTGCAAACCAGTTCATCTGTACCATTTTTCTAGGTTCCACATACCTGCGTTAATATACGGTATTTGTTTTTCTCTTTCTGACTTACTTCACTCTGTATGACAGTCTCCAGATCCATCCACGTCTCAACAAATGACCCAATTTCATTCCTTTTTATGGCTGAGTAATATTCTATTGTATATATGTACCACTGTGAATGGCTATAAATTCGAAATAAGTGGTCAGGTTTTATGTAAATATTTCTTTACCATTTTTGGCTTGAAGTTGCTTTTAAGTGAAGTTTTTTGTTCACATATTTAAAAGTCATAGATTTCTAGAGCTAGGTGGGATCTGGTCCATCATTTTGCAGAGAGATAAACCAAGGTGTGCAGAATTTATCTTGTCCATGGTCATACACTGAGTGTTATAGCTGGAATTGATTTTCATTCCAGTACTCTTTTCAGTCTACCACATGTTAGGGAAGACTTTCTGGAGGAAGAAAGGCTTGATTAGCTTGGATTATGTGGATGGAATGGAGAAGAAAGAGGTCTATAACCCTTTAAGGCTCAGAGGAAAGGTGTTATCGTTCACCTACTTCTTTCCTATAATATGGAAATTAAGTATACCAAAGCTTATTACTTGTTACTTAGTCTATATTGAACAGCAGCTTTACAGTTAAAACACTATATTGAAATGTAAGGCTGGACACTATAAAACTCTTAGAGGAAAACATAAGCAGAACACTCTTTGGCATAAATTGCAGCAAGATCTTTTTTGATCCACCTCCTAGAGTAATGAAACTAAAAACAAAAATAAACAAGTGAGATCTAATTAAACTTAAAAGCTTTTGCACAGCAAAGGAAACCATAAACAAAACAAAAAGACAGCCTTCAGAATGGGAGAAAATATTGGCAAATGGAGCAACCAACAAGGGATTAATCTCCAAAATATATGAACAGCTCATGTAGCTCAATATCAAAAAAACAAACAACTCAATCAAAAAGTGGGTGGAAGATCTAAATAGACATTTCTCCAAAGAAGACATGCAGGTGGCAAAAAAAAGCTCATAAAAAGATGCTCAACATCACAAATTATTAGAGAAGTGCAAATCAAAACTGCAATGAGGTATCACCTCACACCGGTCAGAATGGCCATCATCGAAAAATCTACAAACAATAAATGCTGGAGAGGGTGTGGAGAAAAGAGAACCCTCCTACACTGTTGTTGGGAATGTAAATTGGTACAGCCACTATGGAGAACAGTATGGAGCTTCTTTAAAAAAACTAGAAATAGAGCTACCATAGGACCCAGCAATCCCCACTCCTGGGCATATACCCAGACAAAACCATAATTCAAAATGATAGATGCACCCCAATGTTCATTGCAACACTATTTACAATAGCCAGGACATGGTAGCAATCTAAATGTCCATCAACAGAGGGATGGATAAAGAATATGTGGTACATATGTGCAATGGAATATTACTCAGCCATAAAAAAGAACAAAATAATGCCAACTGCAGCAACATGGATGGACCTAGAGATTATCATACTGAGTGAAGTAAGTCAGAGGAAGACAAATATCATATGATATCACTTATATGTGGAATCTAAAAAAAGGTACAAATAAACTTATTTACAAAATAGATGTAGAGTCACAGATGTAGAAAACAAACTTACAGTTACCAGGGGATAATGGGGGGGGATGAATTTGGAGATTGGGATTGACA